TAGATGCAGCTCCTTACACAGTAGTAGTGCTAGTATGAATAGTGGTTGGTGTGGTATTGATAATAATGCTTCTGGTTCAAAGAGAACGCCAATGCAAGCCTGGCAAAATGCGGTTGCTAAGGACATGTGGAAGAGGGAGTCGAAAGGAGACAGCTTGTCATCTGAGGGGTATACAATGTATATATACCTGCCTATACACCTATATATAGATATAGAAGTGTATATGTAGATATATCTATATACCGTATATATACCTATATATACGAACAACTGTATAGGACTTTGGGAGAAAATACGCATTTCTCGGTGACGATTTGAGGAAATTTAGAGAAATTATCGTTGGACTTAGTTGCAGTAGCTAAGAAAAGCGATATAGTCCTCTTCGAGTGCAGTGTTGGGGAATATATGTACGTTACCAGCAGCTGAGCTCAGGAGTTTACTCACGACTTGTCGTTGAAGTATAGAAAATTCCCGAAAAATTTCATATTGTCACCAAAACACACGTAGTTGAGCACTCACCAGCCATGGACGTCTGCAAGAAGACTAGTTTGAGAGCTTCCGCGATGTCAGCTGCAGTTTGCAATGCAAATCCAGTTAATGAGAATTTGAGTTCTCCCCAAGATGCAATTCCCGTTCCAATGCTTATAAGAACTACGGCTAAGATAGAACTACATGAGGGGACCTAAGTAGATGATAATGATAATTGGAAATATGCAGTGTAGTGGTATCTTACCCGCACTCGGAAGATTAACATAACGATGAGAATATACACAGGAGTTTGCGCTTTTAGAATTTGAGTGAATGATATCGATAGATATTGGTAAACAGAGTTCCCAGTACCGATGGTAACAGCCGATAGCACTCCGAGTGGGACGAAACGACGCAGCCAAAAATGCCGAGTTACACTCGTTGGCGCCTTGCAGATGCCTGAAGAACTCGTGAAGCGGTTTTTCAGGGGGAAGTGGATTTACCTAATTTTGGTGCTATTCGCGTGACCACTGTACATGCCCACATTCCCAAGCTGGAGACGGTGATGGGATAAGGGAAAGTGGTTTTGTTGTATATATGTGCGTTAAGGAGTATTAATGTTGGGCCGACGAGACAGTATAATAAACAGTAGATAAGGCAGGGTAGGTTAACGGCGATGACCGAGCGGAGGCGGGAAAGAGTCTTTCGATTTTGGGGGGCATTTGGTGAATCCATATGAAGGTAGCCTGTATGAGGGAAGGAGAACAACATGCGTTGGTGATGATGATGACCTTGGGAAAATTCTGTACACTTCTACCGATTTCATATATAAACTCCTAAGCTCAGCTGAGCTACAGCGAACATATATTCCTCCAACACTACCCCAAGAGAAGCGATCTCACCGTGTCGAGTGATTTATTTAACCCCCCCCCCCCGGTGGTCGTAAATTGGGGGATTCTTGATTATCTTGCACTCTTGCAATTTCTCAACATTTATTCTAAGTGAGGGCGCGCGCTTTTGTATTTTGTTCGGTCCAAGTGGTTGAATCTTCTGCGGACCCTTTGGAGAATGTTGAGGACTTCATATATTACCATTTGTGATACTCAACGGAGCCTGACTGAATTTGACTGGTTAAGGCGGCTGTTGATGATGAACGTTGTGCTCGCCCACGTGTCACGTGTACGCACGAGCAAGTGTGACGCCCGAACCTCTTCCTGAGATGCTCCTTCGTCTCTCTATTACATCGATACTCTTACCTTACTTCTACCTTGGGTTTGGGTTGATATCAGCTCGGTATCATGGACGACGATAGTGAGATCATTTAACGTTTCGTTTGTGACTCGTATAATCTACCATGTTACTTCGTGTATAATTCTGTTTCCACAAAAAACCCACTGGGGCATTTTAAGGTCCTATCCCTAAAGTTGAGCTCTCGAGGCGTTATAGGCTCCTTAGCTTTACATTGAGTTTAGGATGTTAATGTTAAATGAGGAAACCCTTGTGAAATTCTCCTTGAGAAATCCTTACATTGGAATGATAAACTCGAAAACATCCTAATGAGAGATATCCTATGAAATAAACCCCTGTATTTGGAGAGCGATGGAGTTATGGATTGCCTGCCTTGACAAAGCCTTCTTATTGCAACTCATATTATCATGACCTCACGAATGACATACGATTCATACACGGGGATGAGCTGTATATTACCAGACGAAAACACGGTAGAATTCGAGCATAGGTAAATCGTCGTTTGAAGTACCTTGTATAGGTATGTGGCGAAAACGGTCGTTGTGTTGGAAACGGTTGTTCATGTAACTTCTGGTCAACGGGTCCACGATGTGAGCATTTGTCATGGTAAGCAATCGTTAGTTGTCGCTCACAGAAAGAGTTATCATCAGGCCTGTGTGGTTGTTGATTGTTCTCGCGGTCCTCGTCACAGTACTCGTCGCATTTTGGTCAATCCAGCGATGCGTTTTGTTTTTTAACAAATCTCGAGGAGTTAATCAAGAGGGAAAATGCCAGGTCTATTCGTCCTCTGCACCGTTCAGTCAACATGCCCAACCGTAAGATTGATAACTACTGTACTTCGTTATTGT